CCCCTCCCTCCCCCACTCCCAGAGCACTTCCCTCCCTCCCACCTCGCCCACCTGCTGGAGCATCCCCTAGTGATTCCTGGTGCTTCCTCAGGTCTTATCTCACCTGCATCTCAGGATGCGATTTGTGCAGGCCTCTTTCTGAGCAGGTCCTGATTCGTTGCTGCAGTGTGAGCAGGTGAAAGCATGTTAGTGATTGGTAAGGACGTCACTGTCCCTCATCCCTCCTCTGGGAGGCCTATGGCTAGCAGCAGCAGGTGTGTTTCGAGCTCTCAGAGATGGCCTCAGTGGCCTTGGTGGCCTCCATGGGCTCCACAGGTGCTGAGCTGTGGTGCTGAGTCATGGCCCAGTTGTGGCCAGTGCAACAGGAGACTCAGCTGAGATCATGGAAGCCACAGCTGGAGCACAGGGCTCTTCCTGCCTGTCCCTGCAGGCATTAGCCGGCCTGGCTGCCCTGCACCTGCCACTGGTTCCATCTAGAGTTTTCTAATGGCAGGTGAATGATCCAGAGGCCACTGGGAAAGTGTCAGCGAGAGGGAGGGAGGTACCAGCTGGGGAGCTTCTTATCCCAGTTCTGAGAATGGCTTTCATGGCGGCATAGCCTGGGTACGTATTTTCATGCGTCCTTGGTGATCTGTCCCTCTGTTCCCGGTGCTGTGCTTCAGGGCTCAGAGACAGGTCTCCTACAAGCTCAGAGGCACTCGGGATCCCAGTGTGGTCAGCAGCTGCCAGGAGCCTGCCCAGCACCCAAGCCCCACGGGTACCCCCAGAAGGGCCACTGGCAGCAAGAGCCTTGCCTCAAAGGGTGGCCAGGCTCAAGTTAGATCTCTCCACCCAGAAGCTGCCGCTGCAGGGGCACCTCAGGGACACTGACCAGGTCCTTTCACCCCACCACAGACCTGCCCAAGCCAACCCCGCCCTCACACCCTGCTCTGAGACACGTCCATTGGCCTCCTCTGCCCTTGGCTAACTTGTGCCCTCTCCAGTTCAGAGGGCCAAGGAGAGGCAGCCATCCTCTGGGGCTCCTCTTGGCCTGCAGTTCCTGCCCAGGGCTGGGGGCAAGGAGGGCCTGTCTAGGACTTCACTGCAGACCCTGCCTTTCCACAGCCCACAACCTCACTCCTGCCCTACTGCACACCCCACCCAGGCAGGGACCAGCAAGTTTGGCCAGTATTCCCAGCCCAGTCCCTCCCAGAGCCCACTGCCCACAGTCCTGAAGCCATGGAACCTGAGCCACTGGGGTCTGACACCAGGAGGGACACAGCCCCATTTCCCCCGAGGACTCCCATGATGCTCTAACAGCACAGATCCAGTCCATTGATTCCCTGAGCCAGGACTGCAGCGCCCTGCTCCTCCTGGGCCAGGGGACAGCAGGCAAGATGGCTCTGATGTCCACTGCCTCTTCATTGCTCATGGTGTGGCCAGGGTCAGCCTCACCCACTGGCCGTGTGCAAGTCTCAGTGACCACATGCTGATGGCCGCTGGTCCCTGGGGGTGGCTGATGGTCTGGTCCTGCAGCTCATCACACAGGAGGAGCTGAGGCCCCTTGAGCCCTGTAGCCCTGAGGAAGCAGCTGGATGCCGATTCCTGCAGGAAGAAAGGGGCAGGAAGGGGCACCGCCACACCCTGCTGCCTCCCTGCACGTGGGGGCAGGCTCTGTGATAGCCGGTCAGCAGCTGATGGAAGGTGACCGTCTGTCCTGTCGGGAGCTGAAGGACGAGCTGCAGGTGATGCCAGGCCCTTCACGTAGCTGGACGTGTTTGAGGGCCCACCTGCCACCTCTGAGGCAAGAGTGCCACCTGGACATCCTCCTGGCCCCTCTGTGGACGGCTCCCAGGAGAGGGGAGCTACGGAACACAGCTTAGTGGGAAAAGCAGGGGACTTGAGGAGCACCGGTGTCTGCCGTCCGGTGCTGTCTGGGCGCCTGTGGGCCGGCCGCCCCCAGTCCTAACAAGCAGTTTTCTACCTTGCAAAGGTCATGTATAGTTTGCTAGCTAGGAGAGATTGGAGCTGGCTTACCACCCCAGATAGGTACAGATTCGGCAATGAAAATAAGGATGAGATCTGGACCCTCAAGCAAATCAGTTAACTCATAAGCTGATTGAGGCTTCATTGCTGAGCTCCCTGGGGGCCAAGGGAAGCCAGGATGCCACCCTCTAGGTTCTTCAGGAGATGTGTATATGCCCTTCCTCCCTCAGTCAAGAGGCGGGTGTCAGCCAGGGTCTGGAGCCCACCAGCTCTGCCATGGGCAGACAAGACCCTGGCACCAGGTCACTCTAAGGCAGCTCTGGCCACGTTTCCACCTGCGGTCCACCTGCACCCTGGGCTGGGGCCGTCCACTCTCACGTCTAAACGCTGTGCCGTCTGCCTGCCTGGTGTGGACACTGCAGGGTGGCTCACCCCAGGACCCCTGCTGTCCCAGTGGCCTCCAAGCCATGCTGGGAGAAGCCTGGAGGACATGTGGGAAAAGATTTCAGGGAGACTGACTCACCCCCTGGGCCTGGGAGCCACACCCAAACCCATGCAGCCAAGGACCCTAGAGTCCTGCAAGCAGGCGGAGAGGTGCAGGAAACCCCTGGGTACTCAGGGGAGGCAGGTGTGGGCAGGAGGATGGAGGAGCTGCCAGCCCTCCCCTGCAGCCAGGAAGCCCTGGCCACTGCCGAGGGAACGTGGCTGGGTGCAGGAAGGGCTGTGTCCTGGGCAGTATCCATGGGGGCCTGAGGCACATCTGGCACAGGGTCCTGCTGAGCACACTTGCCATGGGGTCACACGAAGTCCGATTTTCATCGGTGTGTGCCCCGATTCCACTGGGAAGAAGATGCCCCTGTACCTCCTTCTAATGGTCAAGTGCAGCAGCCCAGGTGGGAGTGGCCCAGGCGTGTGGGGCTGGCTCAGCAGATGCATTTATCAGTCTCTGCCTGATGTGCGACTCCAGTGCCCGCAGAGTGAGTTACTGTGTCATTTAAATGCAGGTTTAGGATGGAACCAGATCATTCTCTTCTTCAGAGGTGGCAGTGTGACAGTGCATGCTACATTACAGCAAGTTCTTGGGAGTCTCCATCCTGGGCTCCACGCAGCCCAGAGTGCAGCTCAGCCAGGGGGGTCCCTGTGCCAAGGATCTTGGTGAAAACTCAGCAGGGCTGCAGGACAGCTGGAAGCTCCACCATCCCCACACAGCTGTGAGTGCCTGCCCCTGGGGAAGAGGCTGGGGGCGGGGAGGCTGAGCTGGGGGCTGCTATCTATGCGTGCCCCTGGGTAGCAGGACATGTGCTCAGTCCAGGGAGCATCGCCAAGTCACAGCCAGGGCCCAGTGACTGCAGCTGAGCTCTGGGGTGCTGTGGTGATCTGAGGCTGGCTCTGAGTAGGCTCCCCTCGGTGGCCAGTGCTGGCCCCACTGGCCTCTCCTGTCAGATCCTGAGGAAGCTGGAGGGGTGGACACAGCTGGTCAGCCTGCAGCTTTGTTTGTGTCTGAAGGAGGTCATCTTCCCAGTAGCTGGGGAGCTGGGGATGCTTGGGAGCAGGCCCACACAGAGAAGGCCACACCGCACTGCTGTCCACTCAGGGGCTGTCCAGGCCCCTGTTGTCCAGCCTAGGCCCTGGCTTCCGCACCAAGCCTGCGGGAGGGGCCCTCGTTGCCCAGATCTGTCTGCAGTCCCCTTGCAGAGGCTCTCGGCTGGAAGGCCTGAGGAGGAGCAGAACACGGGACATCGCACTTGCTGGAGCCTTGTCACGTGGCCTGCCTTCCTGTGCCCAGCTTGGAGCCCCTGGGCCCAGTGAGAGATGGCCGGACCGTCCAGTGCTCTAGCGGCTCCTGCTCCTGACCCTCCAGGGCGCCGTGGCGGGAGGCTGGTGGCCTTCCTCAGTCTGGCCTCTGGCCCTTCCTCCCAGCACCTCGCTTTTGTGATTTTACACCTCAAGTCCGTCAGGGCCTGCCTGGTGCCCCCGGGGAGCCCCGCCTGGCTGGGCTGAGCTCAGGGGGAGGGTCTCTTGACTTGCCGCTCCGGTGTTGGGGTGGGGACTTGGTGTGGCCCCCTTCCCTAGGCACACACTGCCAGGTGGGGATTCCAGCCTGGCCTCCTAGGGTCACCAGTGTGGAGCGGCCCTGGCCTGTCTGGAAGCAGCCCTGCCCGCTTACCTGTTCCATGTCCACTTACCCAAATCCTTGGGGACTTACAGCAGTCTATCTTTGTTCCGGGAAATAACTGGACAGGTCATCACAGTGGTTTCAGATGATCAGGAGAAAAGGGGGGAAGCTGGGCCTCTCCAGTAAGGAGCGAAAGCCTGACCAGCCTGACCAGCCTGAGGGCGGTGTCCCCCTCGCATCCTCCAGGCCTCTGCAGGGAGGCGGCTCCCTCCTGACCCTCAGGCTTCCTGAAACTGGCTGCCAGGCCACCGTTGGCAAATCCGGACCTGCCCAGCCCCAGGCCTTGAGGGGGCTGCTGGGCTCCAACCTGGCCTGTCCTGCCCCCTGAGAGGCCTCTGCTGGCTGCACTCGGGCTTCCGTGACCGCCGTGTCAGCTGCTCGTCCACTCCGCCCCAGGCCTGGTCCAGGTGGGTTGAGCCAACTTGAGGGGCCCACTGCTAGGCCACTCCAGGTCACTGAGCCATCCCTAAGGACACCACAAAGCAAAGCACAGGGGAACAAGGGGACAGTGGGTAACACAGAATGGCAGACAAAACACAGCCAGTCGATGCGGTCTTTGGCCACTGAGGCCAACAGTACTCACCTTTCATGTCCCCAGGGCTCAGCATGGGGCCAGGGCCGCGGCTCTGGGTGCACAGGTGGGAACCCTCAGGCAGGACACAGGCTGCAGCTGGAGCAGGCACCTAGAGCCCAGCCCAGAGGGACTGCCTCTGTGGCCACACTGGGGAGCACCAACCTGCCCTCACCTGTGCTGGGGCAGGGACCAGCTCCTCCCTGGCCTGGTTTCCAGAGGGCAAAGCGGCAGGTTAGAAAGTCACCTCACTGCAGGGTGGGCACATCTTCAGGGAAGGTCAGGATCACTCAGCACGACTGCTCTCCACCCTCCCTGTGCTAGAGTGGGGTCAAGGTCCCTCCACCAAGGCCCTCGCGTCACAATCCAGCCACCAGGCCTGAAGGCACCGTGGGTGCACAGGCAGTCTTCCCGGTGCCAAGCAGAGAACCAGGAGCAATGACATACCCAGCAGCCAACGTTGCAGGGCAGCCCCGCTCAGCGGAGCCTCAGGCTCCCAGGCACCAGGATGGGCCTGGCAGGGCCAGGCACCAGGCAGCCCGACGACACACAGTTGACGTGTGCATTAGCATGGTTGACAGGGCCAAGCGCTGGGGACTCAGGTGACTTCATTGTTGCCACACTGGACTTTCCTACCAAGGCCTAGGAAGCCCAAGGTACCTGGGTGCCCAGGGCTCAGGGCTGTACCCGGAACCCCACCCACCTGAGCTGCTCCCACCTCTGGGAAGTCCTCCCTGACCACAACACCATCACCCAGGGCAGCAGGACTGAGGACAGTGCCAACCTCCTCAGGAGCCGCCCCTAAGAGCTGGGGATCCCAGGCTGATGCCCCACACTCCAGTGTCCATACCCCGCTGCTGCTTCTTGGGGAAGGGGTCACATGATAGGGCACAGTGCCCGAGCCCTGCCTACACTCACGGGGTCATCCACAGCAGATCAGGTAGGCACCTGTCACCCTCTGTCCTGCCACACACCTGAGCATGTGTCCCATCCCTGAGGGTCTAAGCCCAGAACTGCCATCCCCTACACCCAGCTGGGAACTCCCTGATCAGGGATCGGGTCAAGCTCCTGCCAGGATCTCACAGCACCTGCCCCTACCTGTCGGCGCAGAGCCCCAGCCCTCCAGGCCAGCACTGATCTTCCTCTTGCCTGCACGAGGGGTGGATATTTGTGATTCAGATGTTCTGCTTGGCTGATAGGACAGTGCTTGAGCACAGGGAAGAAAAGCTCTCTGAGAAATGAGGCCTGTGTCACTGCAGCCCCCATCAGGAGGCCAGCCACTTCTAAAGGTTAAATATGATGGTGCCTGAAAATCATTCTGGCTGCTCAGATTTAGGGCACGAAAAAAGTACAGTCAAAGAATGTTCCTGGCAAGAGGCAGGCAGCACCTCCCTTGATGGTGAAGCAGGTGCTCTGGCCACTCCCACTCCCCCTGGGGATGCTGGATGCAAAGACACGGTTCCAGCTGAGGGTGCACAGCCCCCGACTCACACCATCAGCAGGCAGACGTCCCTGATGGCAAGCACAACCTGGACCAGCCTGGGAGGCTCCTGACCACTGTCTGCCTCCCGCTGCTTCCTCTCTGCCTTCTGAACTGACCATTTCTTGCCCAGGACCCCATCTGGGGAAAGGTGCCTGGTCCTCATTTGGAGGAGGAGCTGTCCCCAGCCCGGTTGTTGTCTGGAGTAACACAAGTCACCTCGCCGTAGTGAGTCATTCCACAGACACCCTGAGAAAACCCTGGTCCAGAACCCCCAGGCCTCTCTGCCCTGAGCCAGGGATGCCCTTGAGCCCCACATAAAAGGAACTTGTACCACGCGTCTCTTCTTCAGGGAAAGTCAATGCTGGATGGGATTCCTAATGTGAACCCACCACAGTTCACCCATTCTAACACCAAGGAGAAGAGAGACGGCTTCCAGAGTTGGGTTCTTAGGGAAAATACTGAGGAGAATATTCTGTGCCTTTCTTTAGGAGACATGAGATCTCATTTCTCTTGGGTTGGAATGTGTTGGATGGAAAGATGGATGGGTCGGTGGATGGACAGGATGGTGAGTGGACAACAGTATGGATGATGGGCAGATGAGGGATGAGGGAATGGGTGGATGGGTGGATGGACAGAAGGGCAGGTGAGTGGACGGATAAAGGTATAAATGCATAGTCAGATGAATGGGGGGAAGAAAGGAGGGAAAAAAGAAAGAGTGGAAGGATGGACAGGTGAGGAAATGGATGAATGTAGGCAGAAGGATGGGTGGGAGAACTGAGGGAAGTGTGGGCAGGTGGGGGAACTAATAGGTGGATGGGTGGATGGATGGATGGATATTTGCATGCATCATAAGGAAGTGAGTGAATGGATGAGTGGGTGGGTTGATGAATGGATTGATGGGTAGGTAGGTGGGTGGGTGGGTGGATGGATGGATGGATGGATTGACAGGTGGACGGACAGGTGAGTGGATGGATAAATGTATGAATTCTTAGGCAGATGAAGAATGGGTGGGAGAATTGATGGAAGTGTGAGTATGTGGATGAATAGATAGAAGGAATGGACAAGAGGAAGGAAGAAAGATCAAATCAATGGCTGGAGAGTTTGCATGGCAACAAAGGTCAGGAATATAGGATTATTTCACCTTTCACACAAAAAGAGGAAGGCTGTCCCTCAGGAACACAAGTTGAGTGCCAGCAACTTCTTTTACCCCTGAAATTTATTATACCTCTGAGTGCAACAACACACGGGGCAGATGTTTATCGCTCTATTTATTTTCCAAGGAGATTTTTCTTTAAATTCAAGAACTGGATGAAATACAAGGAAACACACTCATATCTCAACCCCCTAAAAGAAAGCTCTAAGCAATGAACACAGGACTTAGAGGAATACTCTCCATTCCCTCACGTGAGATCAGGGGCTAGACGTAGCTGGAGCTGGAGGAGCTCCTCCCAAAAGCTGGGCTCGAGCGGCCCAGGGAAGACCTCTACAAAAGCTTGTTGCATCCATGAGGCTGAGGGGGCTCCACAAACAGGAGACAAATGATGCTTTTGCAGTCATTTTTAAGTAAGATAAGCATAATAAACATGCAAATTAACAGAAACATATTTGTGAGTTTCTCAGCTACTGTATAAAATTATTCCTCCACATGTAAAGAGATTACAAGCTTAGTGCTGCCTCCAAAAACTGTCCTTCCTATACCTGTCTAACGGCTGTGGCCAAGCAGTGGGCCAGCTGCTGCCGTTCACAGACACTGGACAGAGCTGGTCAGGTGTGGGTGTGTAAGACAGAGACACAGACAGTGGACATGTGGACAGGAGATGCAGCTGGGTCCAGCACACGAGTGCAAAGGCCCAGGTTCGGGCTGCAGAGGAACAGCTCTGCAGACAACCCACCGTGCAGGGGGAGGTGGTGGCCACCTCCTACCAGGGCCTGTACCTCAGAATTCCACAGAAACCTGTCACCGTGTCCCTGTAGTGTCAGATTTGGTGTCCCAGAACTTCCTGCCCCCTTCCCTCTTCTTGTTCAGTGTTGGCCTTGACGCCAGTGTGAGGCCAACTTGGAGACAGGCCAATAGTGTGAGAGGGACGCTGACCCGTGGGGTGAGCAGAGGCCAGCAGGGCACACTGGGTCTAAATACCTGCCTATCAGGTGGACTCCAGGCTCCCTGGGTCTTCAAGAGGGGCTTGTCTGCCCTCTGTTCAGCTGGAGACCCAATCACCTGTGAGCAGGTCTTTGGTAGCATGGGTTGAAGGGCCTCAGGGTCAGAGCAGTGTCCAGCTCCTTAGCCCACTGGCTAAGCTGGAAGCTGGGGGAGGCTCTAGCATGTTCTGCACTGAGGGGCAGACATCTGTATGTGAAAGACCATCCAGTCCATGTCCCTGTGGTCATGGCCAGGTCAGGGCCCCTGGCCCATCTCACAGCCCGCAGTGCACAGTGCTGTCTGAGCCACCTCCCCTGCACCCACCACCCTTACAATCTGGACAGCCCCCCCCGCCCCGGCTCTTGAGATCCCCCAGGGAGCCCCTTACCTAGGACAGCACACCCACAAGGCCAGGGCTCTGCCAGGCTGGGTCCAGAGCTCCTGACTGCAGATGTCCGCCACGGTGCTATAATACTGCCTGTGCCATGGCAGCCAAGGACTGCCACACTGCAGCCCTGGCACAGCCCCTCACCCAACGCTAGCTTTCAGCACTCCAGAGGCCTGGTCACTCACAGCTCACAGGGTGCCCTGGTCACTGTCAGCTCACAGGAGAGCACTGGTCACTCGCAGCTCACAGGGAGCATTGTCACTCGCAGCTCACAGGGTGCCCTGGTCACTGTCAGCTCACAGGAGAGCACTGGTCACTCGCAGCTCACAGGGAGCA